ATCGCTTCGTCATGCCTGGAGCTGATCCATGCTGGTCGCTGAGGAAATACATCAACTTCGCGCGGTGGATCGCCAGATCGGCTTTCACCATAGACGAAGCGGAGTCCAGCTTGGGGTCGTCACATGTGGTTGCCGCAAGCCCGCCGGACGCTCTGTCGAATCCACCGGCCGTGCCGTTCTCAAGCCCACCGGCCTCCGCTCACTCTAGCCCTCCAGCCGTTCCTCACTCTAGCCACCGGCCTCCGCTCACTCTAGGTCGCCGTGTGTGATGCTGTGTTTCGTTGTGAAAGTTTTGGGCAGTGTAGAGTAGCACTTGTTTGTCATTTCTCCGATCACAAATGCAGACATGGTTTTATGTTTACGCGGAAATAATGTGTTTTTTGAACCTTAAACCGCATAAACACATTTCATTACGCCAAATACACAAAATAATGTTCTTTTTAGCAGAATGACCCCTTTAATATATTTCAAAATGTAATTTATTCCTGTGAGGTGCTGAACTTTAAGCAGGCATTACTCCAGTCTTCAGTGTCACATGATCCTTCAGAAGTAATTCTAATATGAGGAATTGCTGCTTAAGAAACATCTTATTATCAATGTTGAAAACCAGGTGTGCTTCTTAACTTTCTTTGATAACAAGAAAGTTCAAAACAACAGCATTTATTTGAAATAAAATTATTTTGCAACAGAAATGTCTTTACTGTCAATTTTGATCAATTTAAAGCATCCTTACTGAATAAAAGTATTAATTTCTTTAAAAAAAATACTGTCCCCAAATTTTGAATGTTAGTGTTAATTATTTAGCAGGTAAATGCATTTTGTTTTCACAGGATGTTGGAGTTATTGATCATATAAGCATCTAACCCAAACCAAAAATCGCATCAAATATTATAGTGCTGTCACACGATTAATCGCGATTAATCACATCCAAAATAAACGTTTTTGTTTACATAATAGGTGTATGTGTACTGTGTATATTTATTTTGTATATATACACACACATACAGTATATATTTTGAGAGTATTTCCGTGTATATATTTATATTCATATAATTGCTATTATTTATAAATATTTTAAATGTATAAACTTAACATATTTTTCTTAAACATATGCATGCATGTGTGTGTATTTATATATATATAATAAATATACACAGTACACACACATATATTATGTAAACAAAAAAATTATTTTGGATGTGATTAATCGCGATTAATCGTTTGACAGCACTACAATATTATAAAATGCAACTTCACTGCCTGTCAATTTTTTTTTTTAAAGCAGGAGAACTCCTGAATAACCAAAGTGTTGTGTTATAATTCAGTGGGTCGTACTTTCTCAGGTATGGTGTAGGCTACAGTAATGCCCTCCGGCAGATCTGGTACCGGTCCTGATGCATCCTGTAGCTCTGCCTCTGACACCTCTGAAACAAGCTCAATGCCTTGCAGGAAACAACATCACGTTCAAGCTTACATAACATTTAAAGATTTCTGTTTTATGAATGAGGAATGTGCTGTGTGTGGGATGCCAACCCCATTCATTGTCCTCATGCACCACTTCCTCTTCTTCCTGTACCACTTCCTGCTTTGGCTGCTCTGCTTCTTTTTTCTGGAGAAAGGAAGAAATATCACATCATATACTGTTAGTATTAATACTAACTGGTTGTCACAGTGTGCCTTTTGTACATCCATGATTAAATAACTTACTGAGAAACAGTTGTTAATATTTTGGAATTTTGTAAACTTAAAAAAAAAAAAAAGTCAAAAAAAAAGTGATGTTCAGTGAAAGTGATTAATTAAAAAATGAATAAAAATTTTATATAAAGTTAAAAGAAATTATAAATTTAAATTAAAATTAAATTAAAAGTTTCAGAATTAACAATGTTGTGGCTAATTAATATTTAATTATTATATATTTTATAAATCAATAAATCTCCATCACCTTGTACTCGTCCTGTTGTCGTCTGCAGTGTCTGTCGTCACACTGTGGGTTGGCCTTCATTGCCATGCTTGGGAAGAAATCCTGCATGGCATTATAGCCCAGGTAATAACTCACTGTCCCAAACCCCAACAGATACCTATAACACAGACAATTTCATTCCAGGCTCTGTGTTTTAAAGTCCTTTGGAAGTACTGACAGGGCAAGACCTCTGAGAAATTGAAATGACCATGGGTTAGTTAGAATGGTTCAATTTGGTTAAGTTACAAAAATGGCTTTATTTTGCCATCTAATGGCATTTGTATGATACTACAGCATTTACTATCCACTACACAAAGTAATCAGTGTAACTAAACTGAAATAGGATACATCACAGTTAGGCTTGTGGTTATGGTGTAATCTTAACCCTGTAAAGCCTGAAATAATAGTTGTTGAAATTATTATTTATTTTTTTTCTAAATGGAACAGTTTAGTTGAACCTTTAGACAAAATATTCTGATAATAAATAGTTTTTTTGAGTATCATGTCAGGCTTTTATGTCTCATATACACTGTTTTTTCAAATTATTATACACATGTCAGTAGAATTTCAGTAAAATAAACATTCAGGTTTTGGTTTTCAAAGAACGTATTTTTGTCTTTTTAGGTATCGATCTCAGACAGGTCTTCTTATGTAAATGGGAAACCAACGAAAGGTTGTTCCGCTTCCCTTTATAGCTGCGCTTTTGATTTAGTTATTTTTGTTTGACAGAAATCATATAAAAATATTTTGTTGTACTGAAATCCTATTTTTTTCCGTGACATTCAACCACGGTGTTACGTTAGCTTTCACTGTTCTAGTTCAATCGGCGTCAAGTTCTGCCCTTTTTGCGAGATTTTACTAGACTTCCAAACAAAGATTTTTTTTCGAACTGCAATGCTATCTCTATGTGTTCCGGGAGGGCTAGCACTAACCTGCTTTTGTTATCATACATAACCTTAACTTGTGCAGCGATTGGTGGAAACAAACATACCTCTATTAATAAGAACGTAACACTTTAGAATAATGGTCCGTTCTTAACAAGTAACTATGCAGGAAGTAATAGGTAGTACTACATTAACACTTAACTTAAAGGGGTCATATGATGCGATTTCAAGTTTTCCTTTCTCTTTGGAGTGTTACAAGCTGATTGTGCATAGATAAGATCCCTGAAGTTGCAAAGACTAAAGTCTCAAAACCAAAGAGATATTCTTTATCAAAGTTAAGACTCTGCCACGCCCCCCTAAAATGCGGAGACTTCTCGGGAAAAAATGGGAAAAACTTGAAATATGAAAGGCGTTAGTTAAGAGTTAAGACTAATAATGTTAATGTACTTACAGTCGGGTTATTTTTGCGAACGTTTTTCCGCATCTGCTTTAGATGGTTGGCTTGCTTGCCGCAACTGCTTGCTTTCAGATTTGTATGACAATTGACAACGATTATGTGTCCACACAAAATACATACTTTAAACCTTTTCACTTGTTATTTCGGTTTATGTCATTCCTTGGATAATTTGTGAGTACACTGTAAATTAAATTCCCTGTATATTTCGGCAATAAAAAGACAAACAACGTGATTTTGTTATTATTTACTATGGGAAAATGACATGGACACAAGTCATATTTTTTATATTAAATATTTTTACTACATGGCAAGTTTCACATCCATAAAAGCAAGTGGTCTGAAAAGAAACTCATTATCCAGTTCAGGAATAAAATGCTCAATATTGAAACAATACAAAAAGGACAGTCACGTAGTTCTACGGAACTTTGGACTTCTACAATTACTTAAAGTCCTCCATTCAGTTTCGCTTTAACTACATGTTTACCGTATTTTTACTTTGTGAATTATTATTGATTAATATGATCGATCATATTTTATTTTCGTTATAGGCTATATGCAATGTGATCTTTAAAAAACAGCTATGACCTGCGTTTTATATTTATTTACACAAATGCTGGCATCTGTTTTTAACTGTAAAAGCTTTTTATATAAACTTAATATATTTAATATTTCTGAATTACATTTAAAAAATTACATTAAACCCCATTTTCCCCATTTTAAAATAGTACAAGCTTATGTTGAACTTATGTTGAACTTGTCCACAGGTGCTGCGTTAAGCACGTTAAGCAGTACTGAATGAAAAGGCTTTCTTTATGTCATTAAAATAATTCTATGGAAATTCGAATGGGTGGGGAGGGGCGAGGTCGTGGTCGTGGTTAGAACACTTGGTTGAGTGCATCAGACAAGACGACGAAGAAGAAGTGCTGCTGTAGCTCAAGTTTTCGCAAGTTATTACACATGCACCTGAATAATTATGTATGTAAATATGTACGTTACAATTATGAAAACGTTTTTTTATAATAAATTGCTGATAGTACAATACTGGACAATGATGTAATCTGCAGAATTTACACTTCAATTATGAGACTACAGTGTTTCCCATGTGCAAACGAACTCCACGCTTTTAAGAGCTTAAGTTATTCTAGTTTTATTGTGTTGTTTTAAGTTCCCTGTGAATATTGTAAATACACTTTATTTATTTATTCTATATCTATTGTTGTCTTATCTTTTTAAACACTCCAAGCTCTCACACAGTATAATCTGACCCCATTTTAACAACTGTAACATCTTCCGATAAGACCGAACGTTACTCAGTTTTTTTCCATAATAGACCTCTTTCACAATGATGTCAGCTAACTTCTGTTTTTCCACAAAGCACGGAAAGTTGGCTGAACGTCTGATGCATATGATAAACAAAATTGGAAACACCTTGGGAGTTCATTCATCATCTGATGAATTCTACAGGATTTCCGGGAGATGCGTATGTCGCATTGTTTAAAGTTCTCCCTCATGGAAGAAGAAAAGCAGACTCTTTAAAATACATACAAGAGTTTTACACACCAGTCTGTTATTGTGGGGACATTTCCACACCCCTAAATTTAATACGGCACAAAACAATAAGTGATTGGTTGCTTTATCTGTTAGTCATATGGCCTTTTGTGCGGCCCTTGGCCAATCAATGCAGCCAAGGTTCCCAGACCTTCTGCCATCAATCTGAAGGTCTGGCTATGTGAGACTAATGATTATGTGTCCACACAAAATACATACTTTAAACCTTTTCACTTGTTATTTCGGTTTATGTCATTCCTTGGATAATTTGTGAGTACACTGTAAATTAAATTCCCTGTATAGTTCGGCAATAAAAAGACAAACAATGTGATTTTGTTATTATTTACTATGGGAAAATGACATGGACACAAGTAAATGCTTAATATTGAAACAATACAAAAAGGACAGTCGCGTAGTTCTACAGAACTTTGGACTTCTACAATTACTTAAATTCCTCCATTCAATTTCACTTTAACCTGAATTACATTTAAAAAATTACATTAAACCCCATTTTATTGATATTTAAATAGTACAAGCTTATGTTGAACTTATGTTGAACTTGTCCACAGGTGCTGCGTTAAGCAGGACATAAATTACTGAATGAAAAGGCTTTCTTTATGTCATTAAAATAATTCTATGGAAATTCGAATGGGTGGGGAGGGGCGAGGTCGTGGTCGTGGTTAGAACACTTGGTTGAGTGCATCAGACAAGACGACGAAGAAGAAGTGCTGCTGTAGCTCAAGTTTTCGCAAGTTATAATAAATTGCAGACAGTACAATACTTGACAATGATGCAATCTGCAGAATTTACACTTCAATTATGAGACTACAGTGTTTCCCATACATTGAGTGCGGGTGTTTTTATATCACTGTATTTCTGAAGGAAACTGACTGTCTTCAGAAAATTGGATGCCATTTACATTTCATCTTGCATGTTTGCTGCTTTGGCAAGGGGCGGGGCAGTACTGAAACACCGTCTACGCTGTTCGCCAATCACAACGCACTGGAACAGCTAACCAGTCACATCGCATTTCGTTTTTCGGAAGGCGGGCGTTCATCAAACCCAGAACTAATTGAGCCGTTTGTGCCAGACTGGGGAGAAAGTTATTGTTCGGCATGCATGTGATCCGCGGATTAATTGCAAAATTTAACCATAATAGAGTGTAAGTTTATCATTTGTTCGTATTTACACAAGCAAGCAAATTTTAAACAATTCCAGAGAAAAAAGGCGAAAGGGAACTCGATTCGTCACTCGCGCGCTGTTCTCCACGCGCACAGCCGCACACACCAAGCGCGCACACGTACTTCAGACGTGCCAGACTGGGGAGAAAGGTATTGTAATAATGTAAATTATGTAACAAATAATGCGTTTTTCGAACCACCAAGCATGAGAGCATGTTCTCATGCTTGGTGTAGACACCCCCAAAACAAATTCAAGACATTGTAAAAGAGCATAATAGGACCCTTTTAAACTAAACTCATTTATTAAGCCTTGCCAGTTTAAACATTTAAGAGCCAGAGGATGCGAGCTCGCACGCGCAGTGAGAAGATTTGTGCGTGCGCGCTCATCCGAAGCTAGCAAACCCGCGCCTCAGAACGCACGCAAATATTAAGCTCTCTTTAGTATTGTGTTTAAATGGACAAATTCACACAAAAATTATGTCAAAATGCCCGTCTTGGTAAGTATCCTATAGCAGACATAGCCGGCTGAACGTACTGTATCAGTGCACTGGCATTACTTTTAAAAGTAACTTTCCCCAACACTGTTTATTTGTGCTGTTGCTTATAGTTAGACAGATTATTCTTATTTTCTCTATTTTTATTTGACAGTATAGTTTTTCCATAAACATAGCACATACCAAACTGTACCGAAGCCGTGACTCTAAAACCGTGATACAAACCGAACCGTGAGTAAGTTGAACCATTCCACCCCTAGTATATACAGTCAGGTTAAAGGGTTAGTTCACCCAAAAAAGTGGTCTGTTGGCATCTTTGTGTGGTCATGTCTGGTATTGCAGCTTGACTTGTTATAGAAAATGATCTAAACAAATGTGGCATTTATTTTTTCCTCACAGTTTTTGCTGTTGCGCTGTATACATAAATTGTGAATTATGAAAATTAAAAAAAAATAAAGTTTTCATTAATCTTGAAAAATTCTTGCAGAAAATATACTGTAGTTTTGTGAGAATCATCCTCAAACTTATTCTTGGACTTACTACAACAATTATCTTTATTTAAAATGTTTCAAGTCCTTTTGTTACACTGGAATAAATCATACTGATGTATACTAAAATTGTTGGATGTGGCGCCCTACCCATGCAATATGAAATGTATGATTTTTGTTTCTTAAATTATGTATGGATCTGTCAAGTAAACCCAAGTTGCTTCTGTCAACTAAGTGTCCGTCTTGAAATATTACTAACAATTTAAAGGCTATTCTTATGTATACTAAGAGTTTGCAGCAAAAAGACATGTACCACAACCTGAAGTTGTGGGGATGTTTTTAGAATTAAAGACTAAAAGGCCTTTTAATTGCTAAAAAGTATAAACTATCAATCATGTAGTAGACTGTACAACAGGTTTTTCAGTCAAGTTGGTCATGTTGAGTTACAGACCTTGAAAGTTTGCATATCAGATATGATACAGTATGCTTTATAGACATTAAAAAAACAGCATGGTTAGGTCTGTGCTGAATCATCAAGATTATGATGAGGTCTTACTTCAGGACATTCTGCACAAGGAGCCCGGCGACCACTCCCATTGTGGTGGGCAGACTGGCAGCACAAACCCCGTCCCTTTTCAACGTCTTCTCGTCGATATTTGCAGCCACTATGAGGGGAGGTGCACACTGACACACACACACACACACACACACACAACTGGATCAGATCACTGTTTCCAACCCATCTGACATTTACCAGAAATAAGCAGTGTTTTATAGTTTATGACACAGAAACTAGACAGTATAGAAGAGGGTACAGCCATATGAAATGGTTAAGATCATAATTCATATTCAAGACACATAGTATGTGTTTTGGGAGTATGAGTGTGTCATACAGCAAAACAAGCAGTTTCTCCAGGGATGATGAGCTGAATGTGTCCAGAAACGGCATTTTCACTGACGCCTGACTCCATCCAAATCTGACCCAACTCATTACATGCCTATAAGAGAGAAACAAACATGTAAGCAATTGCTAAACTTCAACACAGCTGAGGACCAAATCCACAGGCTTCCCCTCCTCAAGTCCTCCGTGACTGAAAACACAAAAGCAAGATTGTTTATTACAGCCATATTGAAAATGAGAAGGAAAACTTTGAGCATACTGTGACATTAAAAAAAAAAGTGATCACCTAATGCGGTTCAGGAAATGCGTGAAGTTGTCCATTGTGGTGATGTTGTAATTGTGGGTCTCAAAAGCAACATCTGGATTAATGTTCCTATGCAGGAAAACAGAATTAAAATGGGAAATATCAACTAAAATGCTGTAAAATAACCTTTTAATTTCTAATTTTTAATCCACATCACAGTTTGTTAAAATAAAATATAAATAGAGAAAGATGAAGTGGATTTCCACAAAAAAAAAAAAGAACAAATAAGTTTCATAAGCAAATTAACCTAGTTGTTAAATACAATTTCTCTAAGTATTTTGAAAGAGTGATATAATGATTCATGCTCTTATTTCTTTTAGACTTGACTAGAAACATCTCATGCTGATTTGATGCTTAAGAAACATTTCTTATTATTATTAGTAATGTTGAAAATGCTTGTGCTGCTCAATATTTTGAAACTTTTTCAGGATTCTTTGAGGAATAGTAAGTAAAAAAATAAATAAATAAATATTTGAATCTCATATATTAGAATTTTGGTAACTATAAATGTCTTGACTGTCACCTCTGACCATTCCTTGCTATATATGTTAAGATGATTAACCTCCCCTTTACCTAAGAGTGTGTTCAGCAGCCTCAACTTTACTGAGCCCTGCCTGATGTGGCTGGAAGAAGAGTCGGTTCATGTTGGCCAACTCCACCTTATCATAGTCAAACAACAGCAACTGCGGGGAAGAAATCACAGACACAGCAAAAAGAGGCATGACAGTCTGTTACTGCAGAGCCGAGGCATGTCTCTGGGGGTTATGCTGTTGGCTTCCCTCCTGTACTCCGACTGGCAACACACACTACAAGAATGCAGCAAGTTTAACTAAAAAAACATTAACAATGCACACCATAGACTGGCCAATCAGTGCATCTTTATATTTGATTAATTTGTCCTATATATTATTAGATCTATATATTGAGGAATGAGGATAAAGGTGCATTACCTTTCCAATGCCACATCTGGTGAGCATTTCTGCAGTGACACTCCCCACTCCTCCAACTCCCACCACTGCCACAACATATGAGCGGATTTTCTGAGAATGACAGCAGATGGATAGTGCTCATCTGAACACGAGCAAGCAGTTATCAATATAAAAGTGTAATAAAAATAATAAATACACATGTTTACCTCGTAGTCTTGAACTATGCCCATCCTTTTGAGTGCCATCAGACGACTGTGAGATATTAAATATCAAATTAAAGTGACTTTCGCACCGGTTTAGCCTTCCATATGTTCAAAAACAAGTCAGTGATAATAAATAAACATAGCAGCGTCAAATTGCTCACCTGTATGGATTTGAGTCTACGACTTCAGCACTCATTTGATCAATCTTTGGTCTGAGATGATGTTCAGCATCACTTTGCTTCTGTTTGGATTTAATTAGTTCATTTTCTAACTCACGGATTCGCAGCTTCAGTTCCTCGACGGTTGCCATTTTTTCTTAAAATCCTATATTGTAATAAACACGAGTTGATATGATTTTCCGATGGGAAAAATAAAGCATGCCAAATATTAAAATTAATATACACGTCGGTCCGCACTGTTAGAAACCAGCTGGCGAAGAGTGTGTCTAGATATTGAGCCCGGAGTGAAACACAAAGTACACAGGAACGAAAGTTCCCTCAATGAATGATTCCCGCAAATCGGTTCGTTGTTTTAAATTAATTGGTTTTTAAAAAAATTGTATTAAAAATATCACCACATGTAAACACATACTACTTTTTATTACGTTTTGTTCGACAATTTTTCCAAGTTAGAGCCATGACTCATCGCCGTTTAGAGGCTAAATATCATTTACATTTAACAATGCTACAATTTATTTACAATACTAAGCATTTTTGCATGTGAACAAATCAGTTGTGTGAGCCAGTTAAATCAGTTAACTGAAAAGATTCGATTCAGAAGAACAACATCCTTACGAATCGCGCGCCGCTGAAATGAATATGCAACTATGGTAACAGCTTAAAAAACGCTGTTAGTTTTTGGAAAATAATTACATGTTTTCCTCTCACTTCCAAAAATACCTAGAGTAAAAATAATAGTTGAATGTAACTATTTCTTTCATTTCTGACACTGCACTTCTCCAGTCCGGTGGGTGGCGGTCATATATTTTAATAATTTCTCCCATTTCACCAAAGAAACAGAAGTGAAGCGGACGTTTTTTTCAGAGCTGATGGCGCGAATGACTGGAAAACGGCTTCACACGGATTTTCAAATTAAAATACTGACAGATTAGCAAATTAATTATCCTGCTGTCCTATACAAGTGATGTTTCTATGTGTGTCTGTGATGAAATGATAAAACTAAATTGAAAGTTTTAATCCTAAATCTCCTAGTTTAAATCCTCGTAATCAAGATTCTGCTCTGTCTCGCGGTAAGTCCTCATTTGTTATTATGAGTGTTTAGGTTGTTTTATATTAATAAATTTAAAAAAGACACGCAATAGATTACACGGTTTTAGAGCTGTGCGACAGTTTGACACTCTGATGTCTTGTTGGCCTTGTTTATGAGATACTCAAAACAACCTTCAGTGAGAAGTCGATTGGACATTATTAGTGTCATAATCCTAAATAGCATCCAGTTTTTGTTCGATTTTTGTATTAAATTGCTATTTTGTGAAACCTAATACAAAATAGAATATACATGATGGTATTACATTACAGAATAACACTATGAGAGAACGGGATACTAATGATTAGCAGATGTTTACATTGTTTAACGATGATATTAAATCCTTGCACGTTTGTTTCCACAGGATGTAGATTATATGCCACCATGTCAAAAGGCAACAAGGAGGCATACATTGTGAAATTTGTTGAACGCAATGGACAAAAGAGTGATCTGGCTCTCCAGGCCTATAAGGTGATCATAATTTGTCATTCTTGTTAACATCTGTCATTAAATGCTTCTTATATAGCCTATAATATGTCTTTTGTTTAAGGGGAAGTCGTGGCCTAATGGTTAGAGAGTCGGACTCGTAACCCAAAGGTTGCGGGGTCGAGTCTCGTACTGGCAGGGATTGTAGGTGGGGGGAGTGAATGTGCAGCGCTCTCTCCCACCTTCAGTACCACGACTGAGGTGCCCTTGAGCAAGGCACCGAACCCCCAACTGCTCCCCGGGCGCCGCAGCATAAATGGCTGCCCACTGCTCACATGATCCTTCAGAAATCATTCTTATATTCTGATTTGCTGCTCAAAAAATATTTTTTATTATTATTATGTTGAAAAAAGCGGAGTAGAATTTTTTTTTAGGTTTCTTTGATGAATAGAACGTTCAGAAGAACAGCATTTATCTGAAATAGATATATTTTGTATCATTATTAATGTCTTGATCATCACTTTTGATCAATTTAATGCATACTTGCTAAATAAACGTATTCATTTCTATAATTTCATAATTGAATAAAAAATATATAATGATTTAAATATCATCAAACTCCAAGCTTTTGAATGGTTTAGTGTATAATGTTGCAAAAGCTTTTTATTTCAGATAAATGCTGATCTTTGGATCTTTCTATTCATCAAAGAATCCTGAAAAAAAATGTACTCGACTGTTTTAAATATTGAAAATAATAATAAAAAATGTTTCTTGAACAGCAAATCAGCATATTAGAATGATTTCTGAAGGACCATGTGACACTGAAGACTGGAGTAACGATGCTGAAAATTTAGCTTTAACACAGGAATAAATTACGTTTTAAAGCAGTTATTTTCAATTGTAAAAATATTTCACAATAATATTGCTTTTGCTTTATTTTTGATTTTAAAAAATGCAGGCTTGGTGAGCAGAATAGAATTATAAAAAAAAAAACATTAAAAATCTTACTGTCCAAAAATTTTTGACTGGTAGTGTATCTTTATAATGTTCACAAAATAAACACTGACATAATCAAAAGGTGTCATCAGTAAAACACTTAATAAACATTACTGTTTTAGTAAATAATTTTGGCCTTCCAAAACATTGTTTTTTTCCCAAGATATTCTTGGTTGTCGAAATTTTGGTACATCACTAATCTCTGCATTATTTACAAAAAACAAAACTGAGAATGATGTATAACTTAAGTTTGAATACCTGCACTCTTGTTTTTTATTTTTTTTTTTACATTAAAAGTTTGGTGTAATTGAGTTTTTTTTATTTTTCAGTATTTATTTGAAACAGAAATCTTTTGTAACATTATAAATGTTACTGTCAGTAATCTTACAAAACTGTATGTCTGTCATATTTGCAGCTGGGATGCAGGATCGTGAGTCCTCTGGTAGTGCTGTTCTGTCTGCAGAAGCAGAGATGTGTGCCCAAAGCAGAGCAGCCCGTGTACAACATGGCCATGGCTGATGTCACTGCCTCCTGCACCAACCTTGACAAAGAGGCACGGGTAAGGAAAAAAACATTGAGGATTAAGTCTAATATATAATTGTTTATTTTCTCAATCTTTGCTTACAGAGTGTATAAAGTGTCATTGAAATAGTGAAAATTACATCTGTATGTGCAGATCTACATGACAAATAAGCGGCTGTTTTGTTGTTCTTGTAGAGTGAAGTGATGGATCTTGTCCAGCTGATGGGTGGACGGGTCTACCGTGATCTCAATGTGTCTGTTACTCACCTGGTGGCAGGTGAAGTGGGGAGTAAGAAATACCTGGTGGCCGCAAGCCTTGGGAAGCCCATTCTTTTGCCCAGCTGGGTGAAAGCATGCTGGGAAAAGTCTCAGGATAGGTAAAGTCTACATGGTTAAAGTCACCATGGGATAAGTCACTGTGAAATCAAAATGGACAACTCAACATTTTAAGGAGTATTGCAGTGTTGTTATAAACAATTTATCCATACACATCTATTTTTTTTTTTTTTATTAGCATGCCCTTGTAAACTTTAAACAAAATAACTTCCCTTCCTTTCACAACATCTCTTCTCTGATGACTTGTGCACCAGATGGTGGGACTAAAAAACCCTTCACAATCTTTTTTTTTTTCTTTCCCCACAGTGTTTTCCATCACTCTGAACTGAATACGGAGGACTATCAGTGTCCAGTCCTGAAAGGCTGTACGGTCTGTGTGACGGGACTCTCTACTGTGGAGCGTAAAGAGGTTCAGAGGTTGTGTGGCCAGAATGGAGGCAATTACACAGGGCAGCTCAAGATGAATGAGTGTACTCACCTTATTGTCAGTGAACCCACAGGTGACCCCATAATCTCTGACCTCATCTGTATGTTTTGGGACACAGTCCTAGCATGTTCTTCACTTCATTTTATGGGTTGCATTTCAGGTCAGAAATATGAGTTTGCCCGTAAATGGAACGTATACTGTGTGTCCCTGCACTGGCTGTTTGACAGCATCGAGAAGGGCTTCTGTCAGGATGAGAGCAGGTATGCTGTGGAGCGTGGAAAGAAGAGAGCGGAGGAGAAGCCAGGCAGACCCAACACCTCCACCCCTACAGGACCCAACAGGAGCAAAGAGGGTGAGTAAAACACAGTTTTATTGTTAAGGCACCATTTGTGTTGTACGTCATACTGGCACAAAACCTTTTTTTTTTTGGAAAGAAATTAACACAAGGACGCATTAAATTGATGTATTGTTAATAAATATTACTAGAGTATTGTAACTCTTTGTACATTGGTGCCTCTCAGACGTGTCATGCTTACAGTTAGTTCAAAATGCCGCAGCCTGGCTTCTCAAAGGGAAGCGTGAAAGCGAACACATCACACTGGTTCTGATTTCACTTCATTGGTTACCGGTCAAATACAGAATTGATTTCAAAGTTTTGTTATTTGTTTTTAAGTCTGCGGAACCAGGCACCACAGTACCTATCTGAACTACTGCATCCGCCTTCACAGTCTAGATCACTTAGATCTAGGTACTCTGATTTACTATATGTTCCTAGAACCAGACTTAAAAACAGGGGTGATCGTGCATTTGCGGTCATCGGTCCTAAGTAGGGATGCACGATATTGGATTTTTGCCGATGTCCGATATGACGATATTTTTCAACTTATTTTGGCTGATACGATATATTTCCTTTTGTTTGGAAACAACACCAAGCCTCAAATTATAAGCAAAATATTTTTAATTTTGGTTAGTTTTTAACAAGAACTTATTTGTTAGAATTAAATAAACAATAATGAAGATTTTTGACAGTACATTGAAGCTTTTGAAAATAACTATAAATAAACTATATATCAATCGCTGCATTTTTTTCCCAGAAAGATGCAGTGTTAACCCTAACATTTTATTTTAAGATTGAACATTTGTAGATGGAAAGCAAAAGAGTTGTACAAATTCTGAAAATCTTTTAGAGCTTATGATTTATGTGCCCTCTAGAACCTTGCGTTCTGCAAATGAACGGCATATTATTGTGCCATCTCAAAGAGGCACAAAATCACTTTCACTGACTTTTTCATTAACTGTTCCCTCCTGGTGGAATGACCTGCCCAAATCAATCCGAGCAGCTGAGTCCTTAACCATCTTCAAGAAACGACTAAAAACACATCTATTCCACCTTTATTTGACCCTCTAACTCTAACACTTTCTGTTCTATTTTAATTCTACTTTATCTATATTTATCTTTTTTTATTTTTTATTTATTTTTTATTTAAAAAAATAAAAGCATCTGCTAAAT